TGGGGATATATTCCTACCATTTCAGTCATTGGGAATAATAACATATAAAAGAGCTTCAGTCAATGGGTAATAAAGTAACAAATACAAAAAAAATTATCATGTAATATCCATTATTATATAGTTGATTAAACAAATTGAATGGTGTTATTTGAAACAGATTACAATTCAATGGTAGGAATGACTACCTATTATTTCTATTTCTGACATGTAGTCAAATTGTTTTCTGGTCGTTGTGATATATAATGATGATGATGGTAATAAATAATGGCTTGCATTTAGTCACATATTTCCTTAGAGAAATAGTAATTATTGTATAAAGATGGAAAAAAAATTGCTACATCTATGTTAAGCATGTCTTACACTTATTTTAATTACCTATATTATTATGTTAATATAATTTATACTTTATTATAAATATTAATGTATACCTTACATTAATCTTATTAATATTATATGTTATTTTAACTTATTTACTTTGGCTATTTTATTTGCACTTTAGAGATCAAGAAGACCCTAACCTCAATATCTAGGTGTTCCTTAAGGGCAATGCTGACCAGATGAACCTTGTACAAGATTCATTCATTTGTGGCATCTTTTGGCTCACATGCACATTATGTTAGGTAAGGAAAAACATCACAGTGGCACATCTGTAAGATATGAGATACATCTTGTGAACTAGAAGAAGAAAAAATTATGATGGTATAAGGTACATAAGGTCAAGAATTGTTTTATATCTTGGCCTCTTAAATAACAGGGTCATTCATCATATTGAATGTTTCTCAGCAACCCACTAGAATTCTTGTTTTTTAGCTTCCAGAAAAGACTCACTATGACAAGCATATTATTGGCTGAAAGCTATAACAAAATGTGGTGACTTTTATTATTTGACTTGTTATAATCATATCTATGCATTTAAATTTAATTCAGAGATTTCAGCAACATAAATGTTCCAATTTAAGCAGTATTTTCTGCTGTATTATACTATATATTCATTGTTGACTCCCGAGATTTTAGAATTAACAAATCAGTAAAATTTCAAGAAAAAAAGTGTACATGTGGTAGTGAGAAACATATGGTACTAGTTATCTTAATTGGTTAAAAAAGACTTAAAGAATAAAGGAATCCACACAATTTGCCGACGTTTTACCTAGATGGAATATACTTTGAACAATACTTGATAAATAATTTACTATAACCACACCTAAAAATATGTACGATATTTACTTAACATCAGGCATATTGATGGGCATTCATTGAGATTGTTTCAAGTTACTTTGTTATTAAGATAAATAGTGCTGAAATGACATCCTTAACCATATAACTTTGTGGAACTTTTGCACATGGGTGTATAAGAATAAATTTCTAGCTGGGATTGTTGGCTCAAAAGTGGTTATATCTAGGACATAAAGCAATGAACTGCAAAGAGCAAGGTAACAGTTTGTCATTTAAATATATCTGAGTGCAGAATTGACAAATTAGAGTTATTAGAGTAAAAATAAATTGTACCAAGATGCTGGCATGCACTGTGAGCTGTATAATCTGTGCTTTTACAAACACATATATTTAAAATTATTTGCAAAACAGTAGTTATGAGTTAATATATATTTACAAATAACAAGGGAGGAAGGAAGGCTACATTTCAGAATTTCAGAATATCTGAATTTTTTATCTGAATATCTGAATATTTTACTCTCCTTCAAAATTCAGTTTTATATAAACTATAAAAAGATTTATTTCATATTCCTTCAGTTGACCATACTCTTCATAAATGTGTGTTGCACTTTAATAGATAATCAAGTCTTGAATAATTATCAAATAGATGTTTCTTTTATTTTTCCTCTTCCCTTTCTTTGTTAATTACTTTGTTAAATGCTGTGATATTGCATGATTATTAATGATACAAAATCAGGATTACATGTAGATGAGTTGTGTGTTTAACAATATTAAACATATCTGAGCTTGTATTTCAATAATATGTCATACATTTATTATAAAGAAATATTCCAGGTATTTTGCCAGGAAAAAAATTTTTATTTCAATCTGGAAGATTAAAATATTCTCTTCCAAATAATCTTACATGTAATGAGGAGATATTCTAACTATTATACTATTGTATACAACTTTTGCACATTTAAAAATTAGGTAATAGAGTAAAACAAGTTGAGTACCCATATCTGAAATGCTTGGGACCTGAAGTGTTTTCTATTTCTGATTTTTTTTATTTTGGAATATTTATATATACATAATGAAATAGCTTGGGAATGGAACCAAATCTGAACACAATTATACTTATATTTCAGATACAGCCTATATACATAGCATGAAGGTAATATTTTATACAATATTTTTCATAATTTTGTGCATTAAACAACTTACATGTACATTGTACCATTAGAAAGCAAAAGTGTCAGCATATCAGTCACCTATGTGGAAAGTCTCTGGTTGTTTGGCATCATCATCATTCCTGACTCTGAATTTATACACTACCAATAAACAAGTATTTTCGTACAGTCATTCACATATAAAATGTGTTGTACAACTGCATTTTTACTGTAACCCATCAGGTGAGGTCAGGAGTGGAATTTTCCACTTGTGGGTCATATCTGTGTTCAAAATGTTTTGAGAAAATGCTTTGCAGCATTTTGGATTTCAGATTTTTGGATTAGGAATACTTAATGATATATCATGTATGTATATGTATGTATACACACACAAATATACACACATCATGCCTATATATATGCTTTTTGAAAATTCAGAAATAAAGAATTTAAAACTCAGAAGTGAAACAAACATCATTGGAAGCAATAATAAATTAATTACAGTGAAACTGATGGAGGAATGATTTTGTATCAGAGACATTATTTTTACTGATTTGAAAAAGTCTTTCAGATAATCATCTCACTATTTTATTTTTCCAGTTGATTTCACTAATTTACTTTTTCCCAAATTGACTGATTCTTTGAATCAGTCTAATTGAGTTTCTCCTGAGTCCTAGTTCCATAACCTAACAATCAACCTGCATCCTCCCTCCTTTGTTGACAAGACCCTTTCTCGGGAAAATAGTATCTGTTACTACAAGAGAATGCATGTTTTTCTCCTCCTGTGATCAGCACCAGTGATCTTTCTGTGAATTGGGAATTTATTAACTGTGAAAATCGCAGATATAATCAGTTGAATTGGTAGAGATAGTTGATAGACTGCAGGTTTTAAATGGAATCAACACATTTTGAAGGTCAGATGAGGTTAATTCATAATGGAGACAGCATGCTTAACTTAATCCTTGCTGGTAAAATACAAGTTCAAAGGAAGAAGTTTCTTTTTCTTTGCTTTTTCTTTTTTTTTTTTTTTTTTAGTTTTAGCTTTTATTTTTTTAAATCATTTTTGGGGGTTTTTAAATTTCAAAATATTTAAGGGGATACAAGTGTTTTTGCTACATGGATGACTTGAATAATGCTGATGTCAGGGCTTTTAGTGTGCCCAACACCAGAGTAGTGTGCATTGTACCCAATAGGTACATTTTTATTCCTTACCCTCCACCATCCCCCCTTTTTAGTTTCCAATATCCTTTACACCACTATATGAGCATGCATACCCATCATTTAGCTCCCACTTATCAGTGTGAACATGTGGTGTTTGTTTTTCCATTCCCGGGATATTTTGCTTAAGTTAATGTTCTCCAGTTCCATCCAAGTTGCTGCAAAAGACATTATTTCATTCCTTTTTAGTGGCTGAGTAGTGCTCAGATATATATGTATATATCACATTTTCTTTTTCTACTCATTAATTGACTAATACCAGAATCTACAAAGAACTCAATCAAGTCAGCAGAAACAAAACAAATAACTCTATTAAAAAGTGGGTAAGACATGAATAGTCTTTTCAAAAGATAAACAAATGGCCAAAAAAAAAACCCACATAAAAAATGCTCAACATCACTAATTATCAGGGAAATGCAAATTAAAACCACAATGAGATACCATCTTACCCCTGTCACAATGGCCATTACTAAAAAAAAAATCAAAAGAAGTTTATTAAAATGAAAATGAACTATTAAGTATATGTGTATTCAACCATTTGCTAGGTTTAGGATTCACGTGGTCCCTTAGGTCTTACTCTTTGGTTGATGCCTAAAATGCTAAGTACACTCATCTGTAAAATTGAGATATCTGAATATATGATGAAAAAGTACATGTTTGGATCACACTGAACAGCTTTCATTTTTTATTTGACTAAATTTGAGCTATGGATCTTAGATGGCACATGGGACACACATCCTTTGGCTACTCTAGATGGAATGTATTTCAGATGATGCATTGACTTGTGAGAGTAAGGTGATGCATTGACTTGTGAGACACTGTTCCTTTAGCATACCATTAACTTTCTCACAGCAAATGTATGGTGGGCTAGAGAATCCTTATGTATAAAAGAGAAAAAAAATTGGTAGATAATACAGATAAGGTCCAATTCTGAGTATTAGAAAATTATTATCATTATAGAATTTTACCAAATACAGATCACAGTACCTACTTTCCTGACATCAGAATTTCTTAACATTATCTGATCATCTCTATGGAACAATTCATGATGAATTTCTCTTTAAAAGTGAGGTAAATTGCTCTTTCAGAACTATCTACAAAATTGTTCATATTTTATATAAACAAAAAGTATTAAAGCATTAAAAGACGCAAAAGGTTTTTATTCAGCTCAGAGAAAACGATGTGTAGAGTCAGATCTTGTAAATTATTATTTTTAAAAATCAATTGCAAATAGCTAATATATTGATGAAAGAGTAAAAATTATAATACAGGGATAGAGTTTTAAAAATATATCTGTTGGATAATATTTGTCTGAGGTGACAATATTCTAACATTTATTTCCTTTCTCTCTAATAATGTGTGTGATTCTTTCTCCATGGCATCTGCTCTAAATCATTCTATTTTCCCATTGTTTTTAAAATCAGGTCAAGGTTAATCTCATATTCCATGTTTGCTTTCCAGGCACTAGTCATGAAACTGCTGATGAAAAGGTGATATTTGGCATTGAATTTAACTCTACCTTTCTGGAATGCATTCCTAAATCCCAACAAGCATCTATTAAGTGGTATATCCAGCAGTCAGGTGATGAACATAGAGAGGAGGTAAGTTATTGTCATCAAAGAATGTTTACTTTGAGTGAAATACTGTAAAGCTTAAATCCAGTGTTTGGTGGTGAGAGATGTTCAAATTTTAGTGCCATATGGTGGTCTCTATTTAATGAAAAGAAAAATAACTGTTTATGCTCACTAACACCAAAGGTAACAATAGTTTTGGGATAAGAATAAGCTAATTTAATACAAATGTGTTAATGAAATAGATTTAAAAGCAGACTGAAGTTTTAAAAGAAATTTATATGATTTTTTTCAAATTTCCATTTCTCATGGATTCCTTATATATTGATATAAGTCTCCAACTAAGAACAAGAACACAATATTTTCTCCCCACGGTAGCAAAATGACTAAGTTTTAATTCACATTGTGTTCAAGATATAAAACATGTTGAGTTTGTATTAAAACAGAAATATCCATTTTTGTCATAACATGTGAGCAAATTAGATAAGTGTCTGGACATATATATCTTTTCACTTTTATCTGTTAAAATTAAATCAACAGTGGGAAAATATGAATACTCCATTTTTTTACTTTTTTTCTATTTGTTTTCCTAACACATACATGTGATTGAAACATATCACAAAGATTTTATGAGATAGATAGGTTGTATGTGTCACTGATTTTAATTAGTTGAGTTTGGGTGTTTGAGAAATCATAGATTAATATTATTTGAATGTCATGAAACAAAGGTTAGTTGGCAGAATTATTTTTTATTACAGTGCAGAGAAACTAATGATGCTCAGACTAGAGTTATAAAACCCCTACTATTAGACTAACAACACTGTAATGAGTAATAATGAACACAGGATTCAGAATTACATGTCTTGAATTTAAGCACAGTACTGATACCTTGAGTTAAAAAACATGGTCCTGAGACCTTGTGTAATATCACTGAGCCCCTGTAGGCCAGAATTTTCTAAAATGAACAAAATAAATTCAAAATTTACTGTGAAAATCAAATGAGAAAGCACATATGAGAAGGTAAAATTTCAAGGCAAAGCCTCTCACAACTGTAAAATATACAGATAAAATTACAAATACTCTATTAGTGAGGATGTTTGGGACAGGAAATAGCACTGATCATGTGGTTAGGAAATGCTTGTTCTACTTTTAGCTTGACTGCTTAGGACTCACGAGCAGGTTGTAACTTCTCTAGCACTTAGTTTCCCTGTCACATAAGTAAGTGGATCAAATTTCTCAAAAATACCAGTCTATAAACACTTAAGTCTGTAAACATTTAAAATAGCAAATGTAATTATTCAAACATTACTATAGAAAAGTGAATCTCAACCTCAGGTAATTTGTTCCCAGAGTGCTATTTGACAATGTCTGGAGGCAGTTTTGAACATCACAGCTGGTAAGTGAATGCTCTTGGCATATAGTGGGTAGAGGTCAGAGAAGATGCTAAACAGCCTACAATGCACAGTCCCTCACAGTAAAGAATTACCTGACCCTAAATGTCTGTACTTCTGAGGTTGAGAAACCTTAGAGTAAAAAAATCACATATTATCATAAGAAATTGATTTAAAGATACAGTTCCACTGTTCCATGAATAAGTTAATATTATTCTCTTCATCTAAGATCTACAAGACTAAATTTTTCTATCAAAATGTTGACTATTTACATACTTAATACCAAGGGAATAACATTATTAAGTCAAATTTTTCCAATAAAACTTGATCCTTCATCATTACTAATGTCTATAAATTCTAAGATTTTGGCACATCTGCGTTTACACTGAATGTTCAAGGGTCCCATTTTTACCAAAATATGTTGAAATTTTACCTGATAATAAAAGTGATTATTTAATTTCAAAACATAAGGCATTTACTTTTTATACAAGAATTATTGGAAGAATGTTATCTGAATTTTTTAACACACAGATTTTTTAGTTACATTGCAATATTTTAATCTTACATGTCATAAACTAGCATTTTTAATTTTATACTAATAAAGTTTAATAATTGCCTTTTAGTTGAATATACTTCTTTAATAACTGATTTCCCCCCCATGGCAAATTTAATATGATTTTTTTAAAAAGTGTGGTACTCTGTTTAGGATAATCTCCCAGTTATAGATGTGCCTACATTTAACTATGGTTGTTTGTATTCACAACTTTCATTTTCTTGAAAATGCTGTGCATTACTTTAATGTACCTTTTCACAGTATATCTCATATTCATGGTGGTATCATGCTCCATCAATTTCAATGGAGCAGAAATAGTGTATTTACTAAATTTTACTTAAAAAGATCTTAGCTGTAATATTTCCACTGGTATTTTCATCTGTCTTTGTAAATAGGTGGTTTCACATTGTCCAGGACATACAATACTGCTTCCTGAGCTGAGAAAAGGGCAGTATCCATATTACATTTGAAGCCTTTTCCCCAATAGCATGCCTTCTGCTCCTTACCCATAAGGTTACAGCTTGGAATCTTTTCTCCCCTCAAAAAAAGCCTGAGGGAGGGGTCATGATCTCCTGTGGCATGGAGGCTGTCACCAGGTTATTCTCTGCCAGGAGGAGAACATTTCCTTACTGGGCTGTTTCACAGTCGGTGCTGTTGGGGAGGTCATGAGTCAGTTATCTGCTGACTTTCTTATAAAACTGTTCTTAAAATTGATGATGTTTATATAGTAACTAGCAAGTTAAACTGCAGTCCCCAAGCTTCTGTTGAATTTTTGAGATCTGAATGAATAAATGAGGCAATACCATATTTTCTCTGTGGATTTTAATAACATTTTAAAAAACATCTTCAACTATTTGCATTTTTCCATTTATAGGTCCTTATTTTATTTTTGTGTCTTTTCATTATAAAAACAATATAAATGGTTTTAAAATTGCAGTAACATGTTAAAAAGAACTATGAGTCCGCTAAGTATAGATAAGCACAAGTAAAATTTTGATGTTTATTCCAGCTTTTTTTTCACTTTGACCATTTTCCATTGTAATTCAATATAGTACTGTATTTTCCCTGTCCCCTACCCATTCTATCCTGATGACACAGTCATACATTGATATTACATGCTTTACTTAAATAGTTTATGTTCCTTCTTAAAAAATAAAAGTAACAAACTTCCCTATATCTAAATCTTTCTCTACTTTTCTAATTATTTTCTTATGATGAATTTCTAGAAGTGAAATAAATGAGTTAAAGACATTGATTATCATTATAGCTTTTCATAAATGACCACATATCACTAATTTCCCATGAGAATCACCATATTAGTGCCTGTTATGAACTCCTGAGGCAAAATTTTGCATCACAATTTAAGAAAATCTTTACTAGCTTATTATTAATATGTATTTCTTTGGATATTAGTAGAAGTGAACTTACCTTCTCATGTTTCTCGCTTGTTGGCTTCAGTTGTATTTGGTGAATTGTTTTGCTGTCATTTGCTTAGTTTATATTGCTATATTCATTTAAAAATGGCCTTAACAAGCACTTTATATGTTATAGATATTAATAATTTTATGTTATACATATTATAAGCAACTTTATTTTGTTTTATGGTCTTAAGTTTTTATGATTTTTGTCTATTCTGCTTAAAGACTCCTTCACCAGTGAGACAGCAAATATATATTTTTGTAGTTATTATTTTCTTTTTACATTTATACTTTACATTTTATATTTATATTTTAATTCATATTTACATTTACTTGAAGTTATTAATCTAGTATTTATTTAAATTAGGTTTTAATTAGGTTATATAAATTAGGTTTTTTTTTTCTTTCCAATAATGATCCAGTTGCTCTGGTAGTATTTTTTAGTGTATTTTAATTTTTTAAATATTTGCCTAAAAATCTTAATTATTGGTTTTGTGGTATTAATAAATGAATCATGTATAGTGTCATGTAAGTATATTCTGAGAAATTTAAATGCATGTACACAAATGATTCTATTCCAGTTCCTTTTCCTTTCTCTTAAATAAGAAATCTTTTCAATGTTTTATTTTAAATACAAAGAATTTCTTGTAACAGTGTTATAGATATTTATTTTTTCATACTGGGAGCTTGCTTCCTTATTTAATCCTAATTTTACCCTAGTAATATTTTCTGTTTGTTGGAGAAAGGAGATATTCTTGAAGCCCTAATCTTTTCTAAGACACATGTAATGCTTTAACCGTGAAAGAATTGACAGGTGAATTATCAGTAAAGAAAGCACCATTAGGCTGCCATTAGCAGAGATAAAGTCCCTGACCTTTACCTGCTGCTTAGTACCTAAATGTCCTTTGTCCCTTCCATGTTACTCTTCTCATTTTAAATGAATTGCCCTGCACCGAAGATCTACTTTTAATAATGCCAGATATATTATCCTTGTTCACATTAGGCAAATGGATAGTCGACCTCAACTCAAGCATGGTTTTGATTTGTAAGGATGAGCAGTTTTTACTTATCACTTCAAAAGTGGAGAAAATTCCATGAGTTTAAATCAGTGGCCAGAGATTACATTATCATTCTGTAGAGGAGCTGAATTTTCTAAATTGATTGTGCTGACATTTCACTGTTGAGATACAGTCTGTGTAATGCATCCTATTCCAACACAGAATGAAAGCATTACATAGAATGAGAATGTAAAGTAGGCAAATGTTAATCAATTACTTAATTTCTGGGTCACAGCTTTTTATCTCTAAATTACAAAAGTCCTGTGAAAATCTATCTATTCAAAATGTATATTATTAGAGCTGCCATTTTGTTAAAGGCATTTTATTGGCATTTTAGCAAGAACCAAAAATTGGTTAAATGATCTAATAGACATTAGGTAAATCCAGAAAGCCTGAAATTTATTAAAGCAGGTTTTATTTCTGGAGGTTCAAAAACCAAAGAACAAATGAAACATTCCATGGAAGAAAAGAAAGGTGAAAAAGATCATGACCAACTAATGGAATGCCAGGTGTTTATGAAATTCTGAGTCCTGTGTGGACAGAACTAGAATGGAAAGGAGGGAAGGGAACCAGACCTTAGAGTAAAACAACATACAAAAAGAGAATAGCAAATAATGATGGAATGTTGTACAGTATGTATGAAATCAAGTCATAATTTCTTCCTGTCAGAAGATTAAAGAGAACAATAAAAATTACTGAGTCAGAGCTGTGACAATCTCTAAAGCCACATGAAATATTGTTTAAACAGTAGCAAGAATACCAGTTATGTAAAGGAAATCTACAGAGGAACTGAGAATGAAGGTACAGGCTTTGATTGTCATGCTAATAACCTCAGGCTATGTTCTATTAAGAGAATTACATAAATAAAGGCTTCAGAATATTACCTCTTGAGCAATATGGCAGTAGCCTATAATGTTGCTAATAATACTTCACACTTTAACCTTCAAAGAGCTTTTGCTTTTAATCCCCCAAATACACCATATGTTATGCCACTAACTTGATAGATGGGAGACCAATCTGGGAAGATAAATGAGTCATCATAGGAAGCCGAGCAGATAGAGATCAGAATCTAGTTTATGGAGCTAGTATTTTGAGGTCTAAGAATTATTTAATTTTTTAAAAACAATTCTTCCAGTGAAACTATTTAAGAGAAAAAAAATATATGTAGTGTGTTAGATTTTGATTGCCATTTCTGTTTAAGATTGACCATTTAGAATTCTAACAATTCAAATTCACATTTATTTTAGGCATGAGACTCTTATGAGTTCAGAGAATGTAAATTAATTCAAGGTTAATTCATATTACAATCGCATTTAAAAATATCTGCGTTTGTAGAAAAAAAAATCCATAAGAAAAAATACTACACATCCAACTCACCAAATGGGCAAAGTAAGGAAAACAAACAAACAAACAAACAAAACCCTGATGGTGTGATTTCAGTGCAGAGCAAAGGTGGGCCTGGAGACTGTTCAGCCTCATTAACCAGAGGTCTGAGCTGTGACCTGCCTTTGGCCTCAAATGGTACCCCGCCAGCTGCACTTCTCTGGCACAGAGGGTGGTTCGCCATATACTTGTTAGTTAACTGGGCTGGTAGCCAGAGATGTTTCTTTTCCTTTTCTCATATTTCCAGAATTGGAGGGATTTTTCCCCCTACATGTTTTTCACATAAAGATGCAGAGTATAGTCCACCCACTGTGAATAAATTTAATTTAGCCATCTTTTCCCTCCTTGATTTCCATCAACTAAAAGTCTACAATACAGGGGCAGATGTGTCAACTGGGAAATTTTCCAGACTTCTTTGTTGTCGTTATTGTTGTTCCCCGTAATGCTGAGCTGTTCAACAATACTCCACATTAAACAGGGCTTTTGTGTGGATAAACATGCCTCTAGTTTTCCTGAAGATAGGGTCACCATTCACACCAGATTACAGGCCAGGAAAGCTTAATGTAGAATTGTCTTTCAGTAATATTATTTCAAAGGCTAAAGAGTATCACATTTCAGCGGACCTTTTTTTATTTTGTTCATTGTGCTTTCTCACACTTGAAATCACATTACCATGTTATAGTATACCAAGGTATGGCAAATATTTCCAGAAATGACATAGTCTAAAGTATCACATATACATATAGTATCAAAATTCAATCCACAGTAAAAAAGGAAATTCAGCTTTAAATGTTGCTAGCCTTCTTTGACTGTGGTCTGACTCAGTTACAGCTCTAACATCCAAAAGATTGTATCCATGCCTTTCCACTTGCCTTTCCAGAAATCACCATTTATAGCTTTCATATGCCATTCAGATTATTGATTTGCTGATATCTAGAAAACAGAGTAAATTCCTTTTGGAATCATTGTTCTATTCTACTTTACAGGTAGCAGCATGCACTAAAGGTCGTTTTCTATACAATGAGTGCTAACGTTACATTCTAGCTCTGAAATTGAGTTTCCAATTTGTGATCTTCAGATCCACTAATTTGGATCTGAAATCTGTAAAGAAAGACACTTGATAATTTCCGGTTTTATTTTATTACTTTTCACAGCTTTTCATTCCTGTCTGTACACTGGGAGAAAAACTAACTGTATTCCAAAGATTCAGTTAGACTTAATAAGATACAAATGTGAAAAATTCAGGATATGGTTTGGGGGTTATTACTTAAGTTGAATTTATTCACCCTCTTCAACTATGGCTGACAATATTATGACAGAGCAACAGAGAATATATCTTTTAGGTTCATCTATGTAAAACTATGTAGCCTGTTTTCATTTGCTTATAGTCTTCTCTGTTTTTAATTTATTACCTACATTTTTCCAATTCTGCAGTTGAAACCCGATGAAAGAATCATTAAAACGGAATATGGGCTACTGATTCGAAGTCTGCAGAAGAAGGACTCTGGGATATATTACTGCAAAGCACAGGAGCACACTTTCATCCACACCATAGTGAAGCTGACTTTGAATGTCATTGAGAATGAACAGATGGAAAATACCCAGAGGGCAGAGCATGAGGAGGGGCAGGTCAAGGATCTATTAGCTGAGTCACGGTTGAGGTACAAAGACTACATCCAAATCCTTAGCAGCCCAAACTTCAGCCTGGACCAGTACTGTGAACAGATGTGGCATAGGGAGAAGCGGAGACAGCGAAACAAGGGCGGCCCAAAGTGGAAGCACATGCAGGAAATGAAGAAGAAACGGAATCGAAGACATCACAGAGACCTCGATGAGCCTCCTAGAGCTGTGGCTACGTAGTTTTCTATTTAATTTAAAGAAAAGAATTCTTTGGCTGCAAAAATACTGTCTTCTGTTTTTTTACATCACTTATACTAATTCTTAAATGCTTTTCATGGTGTTTTACTAAGGCACAAGAACAATTATCTGGATAAGACGATATATGGTGAATATGGGATAGCAAGAGCAAATAATTCATCCAAAACAATTTTCCAACAATAAAACTTGTAACTACAAAATTTAAGGATTATCCTCAAAATAGGATCTTTATGCCTGTAAATGATTTATGCTTTGAATTTATTGTCATGTAAATAATTGAGCTAAGTAAGAATTAAATTTGATATTGTATTAAGGTGCTTCATTCCCATGCATGTCCATTAAGCATGGAGTTTACCATTCAGGTGCACTACATTCTTATGAACAGATACAACATTCCACTCTAGAACTGACCACCTTGTGGTAGGGAATTGGAGGGAAGACACAAATTAAGACAGTTCACATTATCAACAGGAACTTCCCTAGTGCTCCATTCACTCTTGGAGCATGGTGTAGGAATTCGGAGAGGTGCATTATTTCTTTCAGGCCACAGGGGTCATATTTAGTGAGCTACCACATTGATTTACTGAAGAGCATTAATGTTCCTCCCAGGATTCCTTATGACTTGTCAGGAGTAACAGGTTCACAGAGAGAAGCTGGCGCTCAGTTCTGTGTTTCCTGAATATATACTTGGTTCTACTAGGGATAGAATGCTTAATAAATATTTTAATAAGATATGGGAATATATTTTAATAAAATAAGGGCAACATCATGGTGTATAATGCATCCTAATGGGAAAGCATGCAGATGGGATTTGTTAAGCTACACAAGGAAAGAAAGCCATAAATTCTGGCTTAAGGGAAAACTCATATCCCCATGAAAAGGAAGAACAATCACAAATAAAATGAGCAAAATGTAATAGAACTCTTTTCACTAGAGTATAAGTAGCTCCCAATTTGTAATTCATCTGTTTTAAAAATTCTAGATTATAGAAAACTGCTAGCAAAAGCCTGAGGAAAAGTAAATTTTCTAAAGGATCATGGGAGGGATAAGCATATTTTATTTATAATCAATGGTATTTCAATATGCATCTCTTCTCTTTTTTCTAAATATTTATCATACTCTACAATACTTCCATTTATTCTCTTTATTCTCTCTGTTTTATTGGATTATTAGATCATATTTAAGTGAAGAGGAAAAAATACAGAAATCAGAGAGGGAATTGAGTAGACAACAGTGGTGGGGAGCGGGGATATATATTTGTTGCATAACAGAACAAGTGCAAAATTTTGACAACGGAAAGGGTTAAATTAACTCTTTGACATCTTTTCTTCACACAACTTTTTTGAATTTGTGAGTTAATCTGTTGTAATTCTAGTAGTAATATTTTAGTAATTTAACAATAAATAAGCCTACCACTTGTAAAGAAAACAAACTCATAACATTAACATAAACATCTTTCCTATTTTCTTAGCACTTTCAAATGTTTCCAATTTGACTTTCTGTCTGAATATGTATGGTGTGTTTCCTGTCTGTTTAAGCGGGACTCACCTTTCCTTCTTCCAACACAAAACCCTTAGCCTTCTTCTGTTTTGCCTTTTCACGCCCTTTATAGTGTGAAATGAAAAATTAGTCACTTCTTCACATGGAAGGCAGCTTTTCAGAAAACTAACAGATTTTGCCCGTTTCTCATGCATTCTACATATCTTGAAAGAAAAGTCTGTGAGAAACCCCTGCAATTACAGGGCAAGTTATTACAGTCTGTGGCTCTATGTTTAGAGCATTATCTCAATCTTACATTTATTTTATTTGCATTGCTTACCTATCTCAAAGTAGTCACACTGATATATGAGGTTGAGCATCCTCTTTTGATAATATACTCATGAATATTTGTAGGTGTTTCACTGCAAGGTAAAGTTAAGAAATAATTTTAATAAAAGTGAACTAGAACAAATCACTCCTTTAAAAAGTAATGCAAACGAATAGTTGTGACAATATGAGACTATTAATTGAAGATTATAACAAGAGTGGTTGTATTTATTGATTTGCTGGTATACAATGCTCCAGGAACTCATAGCAAGCTCAAAGCAATAATTGGGAGCATGTTTGACTCTTAAGAAAATTCCAAATATTTGTGTGTTAAACAGTAATGATCAAATTATGAATGACTTTGGAAAAATTATTAATACATGAAGCTCAAATGTTAGGATTGGCTTGTGAAAATAAATTGTTTTCATCCAAATATGAACGTCTAAACCATTCTAATTTCTTATTTCTAATTTTAGTTATTTGAACAAAATTTTGTAGAACTTATTTTATGCCTATATCTAATATTCTGGCTGCTTTTAAGTCAAAACTATTAAGTTATGATAATTACTGAAACTATATTAGAAATATTATTAGTAAAATAAAATTTCATATAGTAAAAACATATGAGGGCAAAGATTTATGTGTATTTTTTAAAATAGAAGATATCTAAACTATGTTTAATTTTTTAACCTTTTAATTATCCAGAACACTTAGAGGAAGAGTATGAATATATTAAATCCATAAACATCATATATATTTCCTCATCACTGAAGATTTTTACCAAATTTACTTTAAAATAATGAAAAAGAAAAGTATAGTTAATGATTCTAAGAAATATGCTTCTAAGAAATCAACTCTCTATGGAGAAGGTCTTAAAATGTCTGTTTATTCTTGATTTCATATTTTTCTCCCTTGTCCTCAATACATATGTCTTTGACTTCTTTGTGTATTCTCTCTTGCATTTCGTTTCAGCTATTTATGCTGCTGAATGGAATCCTGCCTGTCTGCATTCATTTACATTCAATTCATTGGACACGTTAAGAGTTTGTTTAGAAATAGATAGTCTAACTAATTAATTTATGTAGAATCTTTTTCCCCCCAAAAGCTCAAAACACTACACTCACGTTATTGAATAAACATTTTTGAAAATCAACCAAATTACTTAAGAAATGGAGAGTAGTTATAGAAAAATTTAGTAATTTTCAAAAGCCACAACAATAGTAAAGGAACTGTAATTCACACAAAGTCTCATCATTTCATTGGCTAAAATAATGCTCACTTACAATATGCTGGCTACAAAATGGTCTTACTCTTTAATTTTGCCTTTGTTCCATATTTTGGTTGTTTGTATGCTATTATGTTTTATTCCTGCTGAATGTTATAGAGTCAACTAAGTTAACAATACTTAGTGCCCGTTTTTCAATATTATCAAAATTGAATTTCCAAGGACAACTTGATATCATTCAGATGTCCACAAAATAATAATAAAATTAAACAAAAGCATTTGTTAAACATTGATTTTCTTCAAATTAAATATGAGATATATTTCATATATATCATAAATACAAATGGAAATCAAAACTGTAATAGTCTCCCATTAGAATGTCACATTAGTTTTAGACAGCATGTTAGAATTGATTAGCCATGTTGGGAATAGAAAATTTAGGGGGGAAAGAGATTTTTGAAATGTTTTTATAGAAAGATACACTTTTCTCATGGTAAATGATCACAATATTTAAATAATTCAGTTTATATGTGAGGTTAAAAAATAAAATCTAAAATTCCCAGATTCTACACATTGAGAGTACAAAGACAGGAGCACGCACATGACTTATACCTCTCATTTAAATATTTTGTAGTATAAAGTATTTATGGAAAGTTTGAGATAGGATTTTTGGGATAGGGCAAAAATCTGTAAGAAGCCATAGTTAATCATGTAATTTAATTCTGTTGTTTGTGAGTGGTTAGCAATCAATTCTGAATTATAGTTTTGCTATTTTAAATGAAATGTAGTCTTGTAGTATAAAATAATTAAAATTGTAAAATGTATATTTTGGTTGTATTATAATAAAACGCAAACATTAGTGTTCTATGATTATAAAGAGTATTGGTTTGTGTGCATATTTTTTTAAACTCCAAATAGTGTAAACAAATTTTACATATAGAATTAAATTAAGAAAGTATCAAAAGAAAATATTTCTTAAATATTTTGAATAGATATTTTTGCACTGTAAGTATGCAGTAATTTCATTTATGAAAAAAAGAATAATTATTTCTTACAACTTGATATAATTATATAATTAAGCTTTATCATTATTTAGTTTAGATTTTGGTGAATTGAGATGAACATTATGGTTACCACAAATAATTACTTCCAATTGCCATTTAATAAGTGAAATTTTAAAATACTCATCTATATGTTTAGCTATATATATATATATGTGAGTATAATTTATTAAATAATAAGATGAGGTTTTATTATTAATTTTTCTTTATAAAAACATTTGATTTTCTTTTAAAGAAAATATATTTCTTGCCAATTTAATACATACATTATATTTTACATTCACAAATAAATAATATAATATTCCCACAAATGTGGAACCCAACATATAGAGATACTATGTTGAGAAATGTCAAGTTTTCTGATTGTGCTGATAAGCTTCTAACATGAGTTTACAGTAATGTATAATCTTTAAAAGAACAAATAATTTTATATAGGACACTTGTCTTTGTTTGGGCTGCTATAACAAAATACTATAAACTGGATAGCCCATCAACAACAGAAATTTAGTTCTCACAGTTCTGGAGGCTGATGAGATGTTCCAGATCAAGGTACTGGAAGATTCTGTGTCTGGTGAGGGCCATTTTCTGGTTCATAGATGGTGCCTTCTCACTGTGTCCTCACATGGTAGTAAGGGTGAATGAGCTCCTTTGGGCCTGTTTTATACAGGCACTAATCCCATATATCACTGGTCTACCCTCATGACCTAATCTTCTCCCCAAAGGCCCAAACTTCTAGTATCATCACCTTGGACATAAAGATTTAAACATATAAATTGGAGAAGACATGAGTGCAAACATTCAGACTATAGCAGAACTCTTTAAGTTCTAGACCATGTCCAAGCTATTACTGCATATAAAATACAAGAGTAATAATTGAGAAAATTCCAGGTATTTGAATACAGAAAAACACATGAGTATTTCTCAAGACAGAAGAAATAAGAGTTTAACATTTAAGTTGAAAATGGAAAGCATCTATAAACACACAACTTGCTGTCTTCATTAACATGGCTTTACAAGTCAAAAAAGACTCTTGCCCAGGAAGATGAAGTTACAAATACCTTTATTGTTTGTTTCAGAAGTGCATAAGTTTACTTTGCATATATGTATTGGTATAAACATACATCTTGCATAGTGATCTGGCAATATTTAATGAAGTTAAAAATGTACATCTCATTTTTAACTCATTAACTAGCTTTTTATAATTGGTATATACCCTGGAGAAATTTCTCCACATACACAATAGTAGATATTTTCAAAAATATGTATTGCAGGATTAATTATAATAAGAAAAAGAGAACAACCTGTATGTTTAAGAAAAGAAGAATGAATAAGGTATAGTCACTAAATCGTTACAAAAGTTTAAATTTTAAGAAAAGGCTGCACAAATCAACAGAAAAATCTCAAAGACCAGACTAAAGAAAAAAAAAATCAAGGAATGTAGGAAAGAAAAAAATTCTACAGGGTATATTAAGTTTAATTCGGTAAGGTGCTCACCGGCTGCGAAACCTTGCCCAGAGCCGGCACTCATAGTCCGCACGACAGTTTGTGCTGTGCATTGACCATGAATCCGTTTTGCTCTTGTGTGATGAGGAAAGCTTTAAAGCACTGAAAGCTTGTTTTACTTTACAGGCAGCTTTACTTGTAATGTAAATATGAATAGGTAACAGGTAACATATACATATATGTTTTCATTATGTTATTTTTAAGTGTTCACAATTTTATTTTGATAAATGAAAAATTAGAAAAGTCATATCACGGCTGTTGGCTGAAGTCGACGCTCGGCTGTGCGCCTTCATCTGTGGCTATTGATCAAGTATAGTCGACACTCGTAACGAAGTGGTTAAAGAAGCAAATGATACTTCTGATGGATATATACGTGCATATGTAAGTTGTAACATATAAAAAATTTCTGAAAAAATTAGGCACTAAATTTAAAATGAAATTTCCTTTTAGAAGCAAGGGAGAAGATGAGGTCATAGGGAGCTATAATTGTTTCAACACATTTTTAATTTTCTTTAAAAAAATTTAAATGTAATATAGTAAAATGTTAAAATTTGAAAATGTTGGATATTGGATTATAATTTTAATACTATATATTATTGGCAATATAATTCTTGGTGCTTGAAATAATTCATAATAAAAAGTATATAAAAGACCTTTATCTCAATAAAAGAATGAATTAATAGTAAATTCTAAAGAGGAAGGGAAAGTAAGAACAGAGAAGGAAAGAAAGAAAAGAATGACATAAATATTAAATATTCAACAATTATATAGTAGGTGCAGCTCCAATCCAGTGCTCTTATAACACAGACTTTCTTGAACACCTTAACTGTTTTATAAACATGTCAGCCAGGACCTTAGTTGGCCTCAGCAATCCAGTAATAATGTCTAGTATTCAAAGTAATTCATTGTTACAAAAATGCCTAAGGTATCTAGGATATCGAACTATGTGCTTAATACGCCAAAAGACTGAAGAATTGAGTTGGCCTTGCTCGGACTGAACATTCTTCAAGGTTGATGTTTAAAATATAGAGTTTCCTCCTTTTGTCTTACAAAGCAAATATATAAGTGAACTAATGCTTTTTTATGAAGTGTGAAGAAAAATATTTATATCATGTTAAATGTCTTTAAATGGTCCCACAAATAATATTTTTTTAAAGAAAAGTTCTATATTAATATAATTCCTACTTTTAATTCACAATAAGTGTTTTGTTTATGTGTAGAGATGGGCCAAAATTTGGCCTAACATTTTTTCCTTTGCAAATTCTCAATAGTCTGTGTCCTACTAATGAGGGCTAGTATATTTAAATATGTATTTTAAGAGTAAAAGGTAGTATATTCTGAGAGAATTAATTTGAAGTAAATAAAGCTAAACAAGGAAAAATGAACCCAATGCACCAAATGGAAGTTATCATTTAGAATCAGGAAAAGGGTTGTTTAATGGACCATCTAAGCTTTTTTTTTGAGGCAGAGTCTCCCTCTGTTACCCAGGCAGTAGTAGAATACAGTGGCCTCCTCACCATAGTTCACTGCATCCTCAACTTGCTGGGCTCAAGGAATCCTCCTGCCTCAGCCTCCCAAAGAACTAGGATTACAGGTGTAAGCCCTTGCGCCTGGCCTTTAAGCTTTTGCTATATTGAAACAAATTACTTTGAGTCAATTATCTCTAAGGATTGAATTGAATTATAATTGTAGCCCTTTTTTACAGGTCATTTTTACTATTGAAAAACAAAAACTCTGAATCTCTTGTGGCAATTTGTGGTGGCATTGTAGTTAGTCTTATAGATATTTGGAAGTACTCTTCAGTATCAGTAACTATCAGAAAAGCCAAGAATGAGAATTATTGCTCTTCATTCACTTGCAGATTTACAGAAAGCTGAACAAGAAGGCAAGAATCTGATTAGGAACTTTCTCATTCAGAGTAGACAGAGATTGAATACTGTAGACAGGGGGAAAGCATTTTGGCATTTTTAAGCAGAAAATGGAGATTTCATCACATTTTTGCATATGAGAAATAAACATAAATCAAAAATGACTCCTTGATGTCTATATTGTGCAAGTGAGCGGATGATAGTGCCATCTAAAAACAATAGTAAGTAGAGTAGAGGAAACAGGTTAGGGTTGGGAGAACACAATTTCAGCATTGAACTCTATGAGTCTGAGATGATTTACGGAGTATCTGGTAGGTATCTCTATTTATGGCATTGGTTCTCAGGATAAATAAAAGCTGGGATTATTTTGTGGTCACTGTCATAGAGATGATAGAGGCAATGTAGTGGGGGATGCAGTGAACATAAACAGAAAGGAATGGTAAACTTAGAGCCAAAATCAGTGTATTATCTTGATGTATGTCATCATTAATTTTTCTGTGCCTCAGTAAGATGTCTCTAAAGTAGCAAAGTGCTTAAAGTTCACGGATTTTCCTTATTTGTTCCACCAGAAACTAAATTTATGGAGGACTCTAAATCTCTATTCTTAACATCTACTGCAATCTCTAGCAATTAAAAAGGACAATTAAAACTGTGGTGCAAGATAGCAAAAGAAGTTTCCTTAAACCTATTTTGATTCATTGTTTAAGAGACTAGTAAGAAAAAATTCCACCAAATGGAAGCATTTTCTGAAATTCCTACCGAGTGCTTCTTTTTCAATAAAATTGGTAAATTGAGGATCTATTTTCATTTTGTATGTTCATCTGTTCAAAAAAACAATTACGAACCAGTGCTGGTATTTTTTTTTTCTCCTTTAATTCAGGTGAACTCAGTGCCATAAACTACATAGTTACCGATAAAAGGTTTAAATATTTAGTAATAGATGGTTTCTTTAAGCATAGGGACTTTGAAGAGATATTTGAGAAAGCTTTAATGAAGTAAATTCATGGTACAGTAAAGTATAGACAGATTATTCTGACAGTATTTGGTTAAAATATTTTAAATTATTTCATTTTTGTCATAGTGTTCCCTTGTTTATTTTAAAGAGCACATATGTCTTAAATGGAGTCTTCTTCAAAAAACATTCTACTAGACCTTTAAAGTCCAGTGGTAAATGAGAGCAAACCAAAATTATAACACTGTTTCATTATCCATTTCCCACTCATTTTTCTATTGTCTCAAAAATGTAGCTGAATTAGGCATATTGGTTAAATTTACACATTTTTCCTTTAAATAGGAAGAGAATAAAGTTAATTTGTTACTGACTTAAATAGAACTATTAATATGCAGTATTTAAGAGACATTATGTATTTTTAAAAGTAAAATACTGATATATGAGAGTTTTTATTTTAATTTGAACCCAGGATGATGTATGTCATTTGATAAGC